AAGAGAAAAGGTAGAAATATATATCATGTGTTATAATTTGATTCCTTAAGTAATTCCCTATGTTATTACTCTTACATTCCTTTTTGTGAATCGTGCATTAGTTGGGCATTATCGTACTTGTTTATTTGTATGGAAGTGAAAAAGAATGAGTATATATATGCAGATATACTTGGCCAACCAAGAGAAATTTCACAAAGAAGCTCATAAACATTATTGGAAAGCAATAGCTGAGATTATTCCTCGTGAGGTTCCAAATATCGAGAAAAGGAGGGGGAAGAAAGAAGCTGAGAATAAGCCTTCTGTTCATATTATTCAAGGTCCAAAGCCTGGGAAGCCTACTGATCTTGCAAGAATGCGCCAAATGATTTTAAAGCTTAAACAAAAGCCTCCTTCTCATATGATGCCTCCTCCACCCAAAGAAGAGAAAGAAGGTAAAGATAACAAAAACACAAAGGAGGGAAATGATGACAAGGGTGGGAAAAACACAAAACCAACTGAAACTACAAATGCTGCAGAAAATAAACCTGCTTCCCCTGCAAAACATGCTACTGGTAATGGTGAACCACAAGATCCTACTAAAGTAGAGGGTGAGCAAGTGGCTAGTTCTGAACCAGGAACTGTTGAGTGATGAAAAAAATACTTTTATAGCAATTTTATTTTAATATATTTTGTATTCTTTTTTATCATGCTAAATTTTGTTGCTATATTGATGCAAAATAAGTGGTGGCCACATGAAGAGACTTTAGACTTTGCACAATGACCAATGGAGAGCATCAATCCAAATTATCATCCTAGATTTGTAGGTTTTAGACACAAATATTTTGGTATCATCTTACATTGAAATGTTTTATTAAAGTAATTTTTAGAACTCTTTTCTTTTAGCACATGGTTCTGCTTTAATCAACAAATGCTTATCCTTGTTCTTGTTAGTTTAGAGGGTTTTGCTCAGTTCATATCAATCTTGGAATATATAATCAAGGGTCCAAAGTGGTAAAAATTATCAGAATAATTATTTATATGGTTCTTTATGGATTAAACAATATGAAACATTGTTGTAAGATGAAGATAAAATAATTAGCTAAAATTTGTTTAAATTCACTAGTTCTTTCTTATTAGTAAATTTTGTTATCAAGATTATAGAATACTACCACATAGATGTATGCATTTAGATTTCCTAAATTGAAAATTATGCTTTATTAAGATTTTTGTTGTTTATTTAATTTTATTTTATCAGCGGGTTAGTAATTATTATTTTTACATGTTTTAACTAATTCAAAATAACTAGAAAGAAAAATTGAGACTCAGATGGCTTGGCCACATGATTAAGAAACTTAAAAGAATTAATCCTATGAAATATACTATCTTTAAATTAAGAAAACCATGAAATTTTATGAAGTTGCCTCTATAATTTGATATCTTTGTCATATATATAATTATGATTGGTCGCACTTACAACAACAACAAAAGTCTTTTTTTAATTACTATATTGCATTACTAACTTCAATTGAATTATTGCACTATATTTGTTAATTCAAATCAATAGAAAAGAATATTTGATATACAATTGGTTTCATTACACGTCCAAAAAACTTAAACAAGTTAATTCTCGTGAAAAAAATATACTCATTAAATCAATTAAATTATAGAATTTTTATGAATGCATTTCTCAAATTTTTATAACTATGTTTCTCATGTATGCGACTAAGTCAAGTTTGATCATAATTTAATGATTAATAAACAAATATTATTTGTGTTATTATCATTTGCTTCGTATATCAAAATACAATAATAACAACTTCCTACTATGTGGCATCAGCTACTTGAATTGTATGTACACTAAAAACTAAGTCTATGCAGAAGTCATAAGCTACACCAGTTCAAAAATTTAAATAACATAAAACTTATTACATCAAGTGTTGGGTATCAGAAAGAATGAGCGGAATGCGGAAGCAAAAACCTCGAAAACCCGAAAACACATTTTGCCTCAAATCAACTCATCCATCTACTAAAAATCAACCACACATGAGTTTATAAACTCATTTCCAACCAATCCAGCAAAAACCCAGCTTCCCTTATCTCGGAGGAGAAGAAATCCGAGCTCCTGGAAGAAGAGGAGAGAAAAACGAACGAAGAAGAGAGACGGAGAAGGAGAAGTCCACACCCTCAGCTAGCTTCCAGCACTTACTCAGCTCCTAAGATCACCACAGTCACCACAATGAAATTTTTGAATAAGAAAGGAGAATGGGAGAAAAGTCTCAAGAGTGAAAGAGAAAAAGGAAATGAGAGGAGTGTTGAAAGAGGGAAAAGAGACGGGTCTCACAAGAAATGTGAAAAGTTATATTTTAAATCAGTCATTTAATTTATTTATATTTTAATTTTTAATTAATTTAATTTTTAAAATTATTCCTAAGAATGTTAAAATCCTATCACACATTCATAAATATCTCAAGAATAACATTTCAAACAATAATACTCCTAGCAATATAATTCTTAGAAATGTAGAATCATACCTTTAAATAGGGACGGATATTCAGGTCCAAAAGTGTAAGGGCAAATGCCACCATTAACTTTTTGGTATTTACATATTATAATAGTATTCTTACTTATTATGCTAAAACAAAAATAAAAATAAAAATTAAGTGTTCTTATTATTTTTCTTATTTTTATTTTGTAAAATAAGTCAAATTTAATATATTAATTATTTTAAAATATTTCAAGATTGACCCAAGAATAAGACTACTAAAATTTAAGCTTTCGTTTTATTAACTAAAAAATATTTATTATTAAATTTTTGTAAAGCAAAAAATGTTACATATGTTGATAAAAAGGTCAAACATATTGTTATTTTATTTCAAGTATAAAAGTTCTCTCAAATACTTCTATCATTGTTATATTGGCCCCCAAAAGGTAATAATTGACCCCAACCCATATTATACTATTTTTTAAAAATAAAAAAAGTTAAAATTTTTATATAAAAAATAAATGAATAAATTATTACTTAGTTACTTATGTTATATGAATAATGATATTTTTTGAGAATGTTAAAAATTAAAAATCATTTAATGTTTTAATGATATAAAATCTTATAAAGAACAATTTTGATACATATTTATATTTTAAAAAATGAAAAAATTTATATGTAACATTACGAGTTTTTATGAGTTACCGTCAGTGCCTAAATTTTCTAGGTCTGTCAATGCCTTGAAACAAACACTTTTGACGGACAAGATTTTCCATCTTATATATGCTTCTAAATCTTTTTTCTTAAAAAGGTGCTTCTTCTGTAATCTGGTTTCAAGTTTTATTAAGAAGGTTTTAATTAACAATTTTTTTTGGGTGCAAATTAAATTAACACTGGATTAGACGGGATTGGGAGTTATGCTATACTGTCTGTATCATATATAGCTGTTAATTTCTTGATGCCTTTCTTCTGACATTAGCATATTTCTTAGCTGTTATATCTTGAAGATTCTTGACAAAAGTTTTACACGAAAATTTGAAAAACTCTTCCTCTTTAGGAGTATATGCTAATGTAATATTACCTTTCCTTTTACAAAAATGACATCATTCCTATATATGATCTAACAAAGCTTCCAGGAAAAAAAAATGAGAAAACAATAAGCTTGCCAAGATAATTAGGAAAAATTACATAGAAACATTAGAAGCGTTCTCTTTGATCCCAATATATGTTGAGATGATGTTATGACCAAATAAATAAATTTGCTCCTTCAACTAACTCCCGACGTTTTCAAGTAATGATATCGTAAATTTTCTTGTTGCTATTGGCAGTGCTAAGTGCACTGAAAATGATTCTCCAACATATTAATTAACAACAAGAACTACAAAAACTTATCCCACTAGATGAGATGAGGTTCGCTACATGAATTAATTAAAGGAGGCAACACAACTCCATGAAAGCCGCAAAACAAGACTAATTAATGAATGTAGTTAACAAGCGTAGCCATATAGACATGGAGCTCAACTTCTCTACCCCCCTTGATACAATATGTTTGTTGAAGCCAATGTTCTCATAAAGTTTCCCAAGGTTTCCTACAGAAATATGTTATACAATCAAATTAATATATTACGTACAAAGTCCAAATTAGACTACATACGTATACATTATGAATTATGATGAGATAACGCTCAAAAATATTCTATTTCACTTTGAAAGTAAAAGTCTTCAAACTTAATAAGGAGAAGCTATTTATCAGACTGGAAGTTCAGTTGAGAGCAATGTGTCTAGGCATGGCAACCGGGCGAGGCGGGGCTGGATTTTATGTTCCTCGCCCTCGTCCCTGTAGATTTAAATTGCCCTCGCCCCCGCCCTCGATACTCGTTAGGGGTAAAATCTGGATATTCACCCCTGTTCTTGGCAGGATTCGGGTTTCCCCGCCCCTGCCCTCGCTCTTACCTTCTTTTTTTTAATATTTTATTTCTAATAAATATGAAAAAATTAAAAAAATAAAAGAAAAGTAAGATAATACAAATTTTTACATATTAGTATTTCTAATTTTGGTTTATATATATATATAAATATTTTTTTTAATTATATTATTAAGCGGGACGGGGACGGGGATGTCAATACCCGCCTCGTCCCCACCCCTGTCCTCGATTTTATCAATTGGAAAAACTCAAACTCAATAAACACGAGTTTTCCCTATCCAACTCGAGGTGGGTTCAGATGAGTTAAATTGTCATGCTTAAATGTGTCAAATTGCCTCTATTTGTCCCCTCACTATGCTCTCTCGGCTTACACATATATGAAGTCTAAGAAATTAACAAAGTAAAATTTAACAAGGAATCACGTCAAATGAATCATTGTGGATTGCTGATCAGACCATGCCATCAACCAATACCTATATACATATCAAAACTAGTAGAAATATGAAGTATCAATAAGAAGGAAAACTCAACCGCATAATGAGATAAAAAAAAAAAAAAAATAGATAGAAGTGTTGAATTGTGGAGTGCGGACCAAATAGAAGAGTGTGAAGTTTGGGAAGTGTCATTAATTATATTAGACTCATCAACTTCCACCTTAAATTTTCTAAAAACTTGTATAGTCTACCGCATTCTCCTTGAGATACTATCTTAAAGGCTAAAATAGTTTTAATCCTTTACTTTTATTTTTTTTTAATTTTTTTTTATGGTGATCCATATGAAGATCATTCAATGAATTAGGAGACTAACATTCAATATAATAATAACCTACCTCATCTAATACATAGGAGGGGTTATACATTTGTGCCTCGGTATATTAAAACTTGACTTTTTATAGATATTTTTCAAAGTATTGGCAAAAAATTTTGAAAATCATTTTAAAAATATTTTAGATTAAATTGTAAGTAAATTTCAATTAAAACTATTTTATTTAATATTTTTAATCTAAAAATACTCTTAAAATAATAAATAAATATATTATTTATTATATGTGTGATTAAAAATATTATAAAAATACAGTGTATATTTTATATGAAATCGTAAAAATTAAATACATTTAATTAATTCTTTTAATCCGTGTGAAATTAATTTTTTATATATATAGATTTAAAAGGAGTATTATTTATTCCAAAAAAAGAATAGCTACAATATTATTTCATTATTCATTTCTATTGTCATGCTAGAGGATGGAAAAATTCTCATAGAAGTGTGTAACGACCCGCCTAGTCGCTCCACAATAAACAACACCACACATAATAGAGCATACATATATAAATATAAAGTATATACACATATGTCTAGCTTAGGGCTCAAATCAATTTACAAAATACATCAAAATAGCTACACTAAGTAGCCAAAAATAACAAACACATCCTCTCCATCTGCCAGCTGCAGACCTGCCTCAATACACCAACCTATCCCTGCTTCGCTCCCATACACAGTATGATCATTGCAGTTCAAACCACATGGAAACAACAAAGGTAAGCTAGTGAAAAGAATTAGCATATATATATAATTACAGAAATTATAAACAACTGCAGCTTATCATCACATCATCAAGTTCAGCAAGATCAACCTACAACACATCACATATACAACTCACATCATTCAGCAAAAACAACAATAAACAAACAATGTGTCGTCACGCATATCATCTCGGAGATCTCCTATAACAGCTCAGCCTTACGGCCTACAACAGCTCAGTCCTACGGCCTACAACAGCTCAGCCTTACGGCTTACAACAATTTATATTAGCATTCAACACAGCACAACATAGTAGCAATAACAACATACAACCTACGGCACAACTCAACTTTTACAACAATACAGCTTAAACATCATAATTCAGCATATATCAACATATATCAGCAATATATCAGCATGTATCAGCATATTAAAGAAAGAACACATCCGCGCCCGGCGCAATCATAGTTGCGCCCGGCGCAATCATAGTTGCGCCCGACACAATCATAGTTGCGCCCGCCGTGTACCAAACCCGCGCTTGGCGCAAGTAAGGCAAAGACCTCCCCAAGGTCTCACGCCCAGCGCAATACCAATTGTACCCGGCGCCACCCCTGGCAGAGACTCCCAGGGAGTCTCCACGCCTAGCGAGACGTAATTACGCCCAACGCCATACCAAAACCCCAAAATGCTAAGTCACTAACTGATATCGCGCCTAGCGCGGTCCAACCACGCCCGGCGTGAGCCATCCAAGGGCTTCCATTCTCAAGCTTGCCCGGCGCACACAACCTTGCGCCCGGCGGGCTTGACCAATAGAGCCCTCTGATGGTCACGTGCCCGGCGCCAAGAACTGCGCCCAGCGTACTATCAAACAACAACCCTCAAACTTCAAAAATTTTCTCCCAAAACCTGCAAAACCAAACAGCCCAAGCACATGCAAACCATCCAAAGAACCACATTTTCAGCAAACAACTCAAAAGTCACTTCATTGTCAACATGCAACCATGAAAACATAAAAACCCCAAATTTTCACCAAAACCTCGAAAACCCGAAAACACATTTTGCCTCAAATCAACTCATCCATCTACTAAAAATCAACCACACATGAGTTTATAAACTCATTTCCAACCAATCCAGCAAAAACCCAGCTTCCCTTATCTCGGAGGAGAAGAAATCCGAGCTCCTGGAAGAAGACAAGAATTATGAATTCTTTCAACCTAAACTATTTTCCTTCAATATCTATCTAGATTGTCCTTCGCAAAATCCTACATTATAATATGTAAGTGATTTTCCATTATTAGTGATCATCTTAAAAGACAAATATGTTGTCATTGAATTTTTGTTTTGACTTTAATTCATTTCCATGGGTATCCATATTGTCACAATTTCTCCATTTCGATATCAACCACTTTGCATTAGTGGGCTAAACTTGATAGAAGTGATTATTTTTACTTATTATGAATTTCAGGTTACCACTTCTTTAGAAGTTTTATTCCCCACAATATACCTTAAAAAAAACCATCCTTGTACAATTAATTACATTATTCAAACATTTAAACATTAAAAACATGGTTTAGTTTGTACCTTTTTCATTGAAATGACAGTATATTAGTTTTTTTTCTGAGAAATATCAGCAAATGCAACTTCTATCTTCTTAAAAAAATTGTGTTATTATTTTTTTTTTCTTTCTCTTATTGTGCTATAAATAAGTTTTGCAGCTCCGGTGATTAAATTTGTGATATTTTCTTGTGATTATCCTATTAGAGCATCTCCAATACTAGGTTCTTATCCGGTTCTTAAGTTTAAACTCTTATTACTTATAAGAAATCTACGTTGCAGGTTAAATTACTAAAATTTAAGCAGTGTTGCTTATATAAGAGACGGTTGCTTAAGAATAAAAAAATAATTTAATATTTCCTTCCTTCACTGATGCCAACAACTATAATAATTAATTTTTTTAAAAATTTATTAAAAATGAAGTATGAGTGATTAAAAGTGGAGATGCTTATAAGCAACATTTATTAGAGTAAAAATTATAAAAATATAATATAAGTTACTTATGAGTAACATAACAGTGTGTGATCTATTTAAAATAGATGACTAATAAATATTGTGCAGTATCATTCTCTAGATTAATTTATCTGAAAGATTTTAATTAAGGGTTATGGAGATTATCACATATGAAATTTCCAAGTTATACAATTTTGAGATAGTAAAAGATCAATTATGGATTAAAACTCACTTCTCCTAATGGATCATGCCCTATATTATAAGTGTAGCCATAAATGTTTTGACGACAACTTAAAAGAACCTTTAATAGGCTTGATTTGGAATGCACTTGACAAAGAGTAATGGGCTAGAAGCCTTTTGTTGTTGAATTCCAAGTTTTACATTGGAAAAAGATAATATAAAAAATGCGACAACATATAATAATTAAAATTGATTAAGCATATACATAGTATTAAGAAAAAATTAAATATATTAAATAAAAAATTTAAATCTCACATTAAATCTCAAGCGAATTTGATTAACCATTTAGTGTTAAAAACAATTTATAATTTGTGAGAAATTCTAATATAACAAAATATAATGAATAACATTAATTTGAAAAACTAATTCACTATAGCGACAATCAATAATATAAAAAAAATAACATAAATAAATAGTAGAATAAAATAATTATAAAAAAAGGATAATTGTATGTCAGTTTTAAATGACTAAACTAAGGCTTCTAACTGATAAAATAGATGGTTTATTTAAAAGGAATTGAATCGAGTCTTTCCTAAAAATCTTTGCCATTTGAATCTTTAAAAATGTTTTTCTAAAAACCGCAACTTTCAAATAGTCAAGCAGTTGATCACAATAATTAAGAAAAACAACAATTACAGATTCTTTTATATAAATTCTTGTGATGAAAATGGAATGACAATATTAAGTACAAGAATTTAAAATAGTTCAGAGAGAGGGGAAAAGAATACCAAAATTTATACTTGTTTACTCTCAACCTTAAGGAACTAAACTAGTTCCTCTTAATCTATTGAGATATCAAAATTAACATTGAGGTTCAAGGAGTACAATTACAACACAATCCTAGCCAGGACTTTAGCCAAACATAATAAGATATGAATCTAAAATTACAAAAGCTAAATCCATGAGTACAAGAAAAAAAAAATTAACCAGAGAAGGTAATTCACTTCTCCAGTTGTGAACTCTTGCCTCCAACAACTTCTTCAGCAGTTCTCCGGATAAAATGAATTGTTTTCTCCAAAAAAAATTAATTAAGTAAAATTGGAAACCCTAAAACCTACCATTTATGTCTTATTTATAGAAAAACTAAATTCACGAATTTCAACATGGTTGTGTTGTGATATAGCACGGTTGTACTACTACAATAGGAAGGTTGTGCTTCTCTTTAGCATGTGAGCTTGATAGTGAACACAATTATGGTGACACTCAACATGACGTACGCTACACGAGCATGGATGTGCTTCATCCTCAACATATAGGTGTGGTGACTTTTCAAAACAAAGACCTTCAAATACGAGCATGATTATGGTAGAATCCAACACGATTGTACTACACGAGCAAGATGTGGCCTTCAAATGCAAGCACAATTGTGGCACAACTCAACACGACCGTGCAACACAACAAATAAATAAAAGTAACGTGATAATTTTATTGTAATAAAACTTTCTTTTAAACTCAAAAATGCATGTTAGAATCTCACCATGAGAACGATTCTTGAAAAATTCATGTAAAAAAATTCCTGATAAACAATATTTTTTTAAAAATATTATTTTTAATTAATAAACCAAATATAGGAAATTAACATTATCAATTTTAGATTCCTAGCAAAAATAAAAACACTTTTTATACCAAATGTTTCCTACATGTAATAGTTTACCGAAATGAAAATTTATAACTTTGATTCATAAACAATTATGTTATCAATAAATTATGTTGTAATGTTTCCGTGTAATAACTTAAATATTTAGACTATTATTAACGATATTTCAATATAGACGATTCAAAACAACCCATAATAAGAACCACAATGCGAGGTTCGTTTCATCCCAAAATACTACAGTATCAAGGAAGTAGCAAATAATTCATTCATTTAAAGCCCAGTAGGCCCAGTACACACTTTGTACAACACTACACTACACTACACGCTCTCCCTCCTTTTAGGAGAGGGCTACACGATTTGTGGTACAAACATATGCACATCACAAAATGAAAAAACTAGGTACACAAAAAGTATAAAACAATATAATAAATTAAATAAAAGGTAGGACTATTGGATAGCTTTGTGCACTCAATGGCTACTTTTCTTTTCTTCAATAAAAAAGGCATGAAGGCAAAGAAGACTCTCTGCGTTGTGGAACTTGGGCAACTTGAACTGGGTAAAAGGTGCTTTATTAATTACGCTTGGTGATGAACCTTGCGCTAAAACTTTGAGTGAGAGTTATAAGTGGCATTTGGAGTCCAATTGCTTGGAATAACATTTTTGGCAGTGAGGCTTTTCCCAGTGGATGTGCTTATTTTAACAGAGAAAGGTCCTTTTAAAGGCCCCTTTATAATCACCCAATATGCACCCCATAAATGTTTCATCTGCATCCACTCACTCGACCCTGCCTGCAATTACCAATATCCAATCATGAATATCAAATCAGAAGAGAAATTGTATTTTTTCTATAACAGATAGAAATGCATGTAATATAGAAGTTGCAACCCTATCATAAGAATAATGCAAGAGGTGAATGTTGATCTCACACATGCACCTATAACCTACCTATAGAAGATATTATGTTTTAGAGGTCCCATATGTCACATGCTTCTATTTCGGAAGATGCAAGAAAAAGGCACCACAAGAAGAACAATGGTCACCATTATGTGAGGATAACACTACGAGTAATATTTTTTATTTTTAATGGGATACAAATGGATTACAACCTTTGGCAGATAATCCAATCTAAAGTACAAAAGGTTGAACTGCGTACACGTGATTTAAAAAAGACATCAATTGTCCACCTAACCATGTTCCATGCTACATTTTTCCTCTCTACATTTTCAAATTTTCAAACATGAAATCCATTCATAATTTAATAGCTCCATCTAATGAATGCAATATCCGTTTGATGGCATATTACTAGCTAGTTTACTATGAATTAAAATAAAGCATTTGTGTAACGTTCTAGCTATGAACCCTAAACATATATTAGTTCTTGTAGATGTCAATATGCTACTATATATCAGTAGCTGCATATTAAAGTTAAAGGTTTCTCTTCCCTCACTCTTATGAGATTCTGCCATCTTTCTTCATTTTGCTATTCTACTATAGCTAGTTAGATACGAATGTTGGTTTCAAGGAATAATTGTATGGTAAAAAATTATACATAAAAGAGAGAGATGGAGAGAGAGAGATGGAGAGAGAGAGAGAGATGGGTACTTGTTGTATATGCATGGAGGCGATGTCCCCATCTCCACCTGCATAGACTACCATAAGTGATAGCCAATAGGCTGATGAACCTTCATTGACATGGAAGCCAAGGGTTTTGCCACCATACTTGCATGGTGTTCTGGCAAAAAAAAACAATACAAATACAAAGGAGACACTCAGCATTGTGAATCCAGAAAAGAAAAGGGAAGGGTTGAGGAAATAGAAAAAGAAAAAGAAAAAGGCCGTATACCTTCGGTAACTGATAGGGAGTTCACCTCGGTTCCTGAGCTGATTGTGTTGGCCAGGAAGAGCCAGTCGACCGAAGGCAGCACCACTAAGATCGAAGTGCGTTTTGTCAGTGCGACAGCCGGGGCACTCATCCGTTATCGTCACCGTCACCGCTCTCTTCGAACATATGGTATGGTCCAAACACTTCACCTTGTAGCACGCCCCACACCCTTTCCCCTTCTGAAACAGCACCGGCGCACCTGCACTCACCCTTCCCTTCATCGGCTTCGAGTTCACCAACTTACCATATCCACACGCTCCTCCTAAACTAACAAACTTCAGTTCCCTCATTTACACCAACATCACTTTAAACTTGTATCTTATTCTTAATCTTACATAATAATAATATATTAATAAGAATAAAAGTTATCTATATTATCGAATTCTACGTTACCTGTTAATACATGTTATGGATAACAAACACGAACATTACTTACGTGTTATTATTGACAATATTATTATTGTTAAGGTTTGATAATATTGTTGAGATTGTTACCGTTGCTACCGTCTCCCTCGGGCTCGCCGTACCATGTGGCGTGTCCGGGGAACCAACGTTGGTCCAGAACGCTACGACGAGCGGAGTGTTCTTGCGCGTACACCAGCGCAAATGAAAAGCATGAGCTTAGAAGAAAAAACACAGCGGAGGGACCGTGGTGCTGCATTTTGATTTTTGAGAGAGAATGAAAATTGAAAAAACACGAAAACACTTAGAGGAAACGTGGGAATGCAACGGTGACTCGGATATGTTGCCGACACTTATTGATAGATAGAGGCAGAGATTCTTTCTTTTTTTTTTTCTTTTTTTTTTCTTTTTTTTTTTCTGCGTTTCGATTGTATGAGATCGTGAAGTGGGTTTAGGGTGCTTTTATAGTGGAACGCAGCGGGGTCCGTTCAGCGGAACAACTGTGTTCGTCCATTTGTTTGGCGCATATTGACGAAAGGTGCCACGGTGTTGGGTCCCACCGGCGGTTCAAGCATTAACTACGCATCGAATAAAGACCAACCAAGTGCATTGGTATATTGCTCCATCAATTATTTTATTTTTGGTACCGTTATTCCGTTAACCTCGTTTTCTTTTTCTTTTTCAACCATCCAATGAACGAACGTGAAAGCAAGATTCAAGCATATTTTCAGAAAACGACGTTACTGTTCTCTCACCCATGTTGCAGTTGGTGCGACATTGTCACTGGATATTATATGTTCACTTAATTATATATTAAGATTAGATCATTTTTTTATATTATTATTGACTTTGTTGAATGAATTCAAATATAAAAGGCAATGATAAGCTAGCACATATAGTGGATATGCCATGTCTCCGAATGGAGAAAACCTCGAGCAATTTGAGAATGATTATTGGACAATTATATATTTAAATATTGTGATTATTATCCTCGCTTCTGTTTTATGGACTTTGGTGGAGCGGACATATTATATATGAAAACAAAATAAAATGACACATATATGCTGCTTCTGTTAAGTGTAGCCTGGGTTAATTAGGGCATGACATGTGTATGAGGCACTTAATTAAGAACCATGATGCAAACGAGTATAGTAATTTGTTACACCTAAAAAAGTGTAGTTTTGTTTTTATTGATTTCAATTTTACTGATTCGTAAAGGTAAAGCAATGGAAGTGGGAGTTAGTTTAGTTATAGCCCTAATATCATCATAATTAGTGTTTTTGTTTCTTATATCTTGTCATGCTTATATATTAATATCCTTTTAATAGTTAGTATAGAATGTTGCGATCCACTTAGGCGAACAAATAAGAATCTTTTGCCTCTTGAAGAAAGACACGTGCGACAAAGTGCCGGCAGCAGGCTCACAATTTTTCTTAGATCAACTTGTATATATATTTCAAACGATTACTTTTGCTATTATCTACTTAAAATTTAGCATTAGTATAAAAGGAATATTGATCATAAAAAAATTGCATCATTGATAGAAATTGTTAAATACTCTTTTGATTAATTCCTTAATTTAGCTCGTGTACGAATACAAATGTTTTAGAACAGGTCTAAAGCATCAAATCACGCTAAGATATGGAATCGAAAGCTTTTAAAAAGAGGATTCATATGTACTGAAATTTAATCCGTGTAAAGCTTTCTTTTTGGCTGCTGTTAAGACATAATTAACAATAAAATCTTTAATTTCAAAAATATATGATAACCAGCAATTACTCGGATACTCATAAATAAATATGAAATAAAACATATGTAAATAAACATTAATTTACTTAAGGAAAGTTACTCCCTAATAATATAAAGTAAGTTAATACACACACTAAACATACACTAATTCTCTAACACAGCAATTAAAATTTTAAAAAAACAAAAAACAAAAAACGATTTAATCAAATAAAAAATAGGATGCCCATGAATCACGATGTCTCCCGAAATGAGAGTCTTAACTTTTTCTTTTTTAATCAATGAAATGAGTATCTTAATGCAACTATTAAAAGATGGTTATGGCCACATTTAATAAATTAAGAACTCTCCCCTTCTATTTTATTTGATGTTTTTATCATTTTTCTAATTTTAATTTGATTTTCTTTTTATAATATTAATGTAATATTAAATTCTTTTATGGATTTAACTACTCTAAAATGAAATAATTATATTTTAGAGAATAAATTATAATAATAAATATTAATTAATAATTAATAATTTATATTATAATCAATTTAGATTTTATTTTATAAAAAATTAATTTTATTTTAAATTTTAATCATTAATTTTATAATCAATAATGTTATAATTATTAGTGCATTTTATTCTCTAAAATACACTTTTCACTTTAAAAGATTTAAATAATTTTTTATTATATCCTTAATTATTATTAATACACTCTTTAATTAATGTATATTTTTTATATTTATTTTATCAGTAAAAAAATCAAGATATATTAAAATGTTATATAAAAATATATTAATTTATTTCTTTAATCTTAAATGTCGAACAAAATATTAAGGGGCAGCTAAAGACTTCCATATGAATACTCGAAAATAAGCAGACTCATAACCTTTTTTTCTCGATCTCACTTTATACTATAACTGTTTAGTTCATTTTTGTTTTCTACGAGGCAATAAGTACTACCTCCGTCTTAGTCCAAAAAAAAAAATAACAATAATACTGAGTATTATATATAAATCATAAAATCACTTTATTATTTATCTTTTTTATAGGATTATTTTCTAATTGTATTGTGTATTAATTAATTTTTTATAATATTATTCTTATTTTTAATTACTTTTTAAAAAAAATATTAAATATTGAAAATTAATCTGATAAAATAATTTTATTCTTATAAGAAATGGAGATGAATAGATATAATTTTTAAACATAACTAATTACGAAAATAAGTAATTTTTTTTTATCAATAGGACAATTAAAATATGATTAATTTAAATAATATTAAGGATAATTTTGAAAATACAATTTAAATTATTGAAAAATTAATCTAATGAATAAATTAAACAACCTTATCAAATATAATTTTTTTTTTACAAGGAGTTAAATAGAACTTTAAGTTTAAAGACAACAAAGCTCATCCTCATAATATATATTTAATGTAACAATATACAATATCTTCATTCCATTTTATTCGACGTTTAAGATTTTAACACAAAATTTAAATAATACGGTTAATATGTTTGATTTTTTAAAAATAATCATGTAAATTCTTAATATATACTTTGAACCTTTTGAATTCCACCAATAAAATAAATATTAAAAAGAAAAAACAAAACATTAATTAAAATGCATTAATAATTGTTAAAGATATGATAAGAAGAAAAAATATTTAATATTATATTAATATTGTAAAATGACAATCAAAATAAAATAAATTAAAATTATCATAATATCAAATAAAATCAAACCAACATGAGTGTTTAAGATTCAAATTTAAGACTAATAATTAAGTCATAATTATCATCTTAGTTATTACTGGAGTTTATGCGTTTGGTGTTACCACTTAATTAAGTTAGATTTTGGATAATGTTTTTTAACTAGAATTTATAAGGAAAAATAAAGTACATTAAGTAATTAAAATAAATAATTTATTATGAATTAAGAGTAACCGGTGAAAAACTCAAATAAGAATGTCTTGAAAAGTTGAAAAGTGTTAGGTACACATGTGATTTAGTTTTATAAGAAGATTAGTTTATTTTACTTTATTTCCTTATAAATATCTTTAGTATATAAAAAAACTAATTAAGGTAGTAATTAATATTAACTAATAATACTTTTAAAAGCTATTATTTAATGGAGTGTCTTGATTTTTTTTAACTTCTTATTTCTTTCAATCTATCATTTTTATTTTTTAAAAAAACTATCGATAGTTTTTTTTTAGGACAAATAATATATATTTCAATTATAATATAATTTATATATTCATAGTATTGATTTATTATAAAATTTATTTATATAAAAAATAAATACTCATTTAAATATTTTGTACATTATACAAATTAAAATACCAGTTTAATATTAAAAAAAAATGCTAAAAAAATATTTATTAAAAAAATTATTGAAACCAGACTTAAGTTTAATTATTAAATAACAGTGCAACATGCATGCAAGTATGATTTTTGCACAATATAGAATACAAACTGACTATATACATTCATGAGGGGCTCCCAAGAAATGAATACCAATCGAATCGAGCTTGAATCATTCTTTGAGAAAAAGCAAAATTGGAAATGAAATGAGAAGAGCTATGATGCATGTTAGTCTTAGATCTCCTTCAAATTTGTTATAGCGTAGGGCAATTGGAAGATGAACCCAACAGACTTTACGCCTTCTACAAACTTCAAACCACATGCAGATAATTAAGTTGGTCAGCAACGTGCCACCTACAAATTCTGGAATAATCATATAATTTATTTTTCCTTCTAAGAACAAAAATTCACTACCAAATTGTATGACATAGTATATTAGGATAATGCTACTCGCATGTTTATGTCACTTTCTTTTTTCCTTTTTTCTTTTTTTCCAAAAAACGAACATTATTTGGAAAATAAAGGGAAATGAATTAGCGGGCCTGGCACTGATGAACCTTTAGTGGGCCTGGTACTGATGCCGGTTCTTATTACGTTTTCATAATATTTGTAATGCTCACAATCATCCAGTTGCTGTGGTGTAGTGGTTATCACGTTAGTCTTACACACTAAAGGTCCCCAGTTCGATCCTGGGCAGCAACAACAAATTTTCAGCATTTTATTTTTATTTCACTATTTTTTGCCCTTTGGCAAATTTTGTGGAGATCGTCACGATAAACATTTTAGCAACAAATGCAATTGATTCTACCGTCTTGTTTCCAACAATTTTGTTTCTTCAAAATTTCCATTCCTTTCCATAACTTTTCTTTATTTTGTTATTCCATTATTTCACATCCTTCATCACTCATCTTACTCCTCTCCCCTTTCCGCTTTACATTTTCAAAGAACCAACTTGTCTAATTAAAAAAAAAAACTCCAACCAGATAAATTTTCTAGAACAGACTCCTCTAACACTAGCTCACCAAGCAATAAGTACTTCCTTCAATATGTATAGACCAGTACTTCCTTCAATATGTAAAGACTTTTAATACCAAAAGCGACATAAATCAACTCTAAATGTTACTAATAATTTAACCCATTTTGAATTCAATTATGTTCTGGTCCGAAAAGTATATTAGGGTTAATTTAGTCATTTTTTTTAAGTTAGAGTGTTCAATAGTGTAATTTATTTATTCATGTTATAATATTAGAGTTTTTATATTTGACTGTCGTGTATTTATGTGTTTCAAAAATTTTATGATTTGGTAGGGTAATTACTTATTATTGGGTATCATATTTTAGTGCGTGATATTGATTATAAAAAAATAAGATTCTATACTAGATTATTTTGGGGTTAGACTAATTTTGACTTTCTTTAAGCATGATCGATTAGTTATATATTAAGTTTGAGAGATTGAATTAATCTTATAAACTCCTTATTGCTAGCCTAATTGATTATTTATTAGGCAATGATGTCAGTTTGAATCCAACCCAACTTAAGAATGAGACAATTTATTATTTATCTTTGTCTTCCCAACTCAACAAGTTCATGTCAAAAAATATCTGAGATGGTACAAATTACAACACCAAAAGTTTTTTTTTTATCAATAGAAAATATAATGTTATCAAAAAGTCTTGAATTTAAGGCCTCGTATATATTATTTCAACTTTTCTACTGCTAAATCAACCATAAAAGTTCAAAATTTGTAGGTTTGGAAGTAAATTGTGATGGTTGGATTTTATAATAAAGGAGAGTGGCCTAAATTTCTGTAAGGAGTGAGCACAAAAGAGAACAAAGATTTTGGTTGAAAAAACATTGTGATACATTTTCCATTATTATTATGAATTTATATTAATATATAGTATGCTTAAAACCGTAACAAATGTTGAAGTTTTCAAATTGATTTAAAAAAGAAAAAGAAAATATCCTATAGTTATTATTAATTTTAGTCTCATACTTTTATATAAATTTTCATCATCATAATCATAAGTTACAACTCACTTTAATGAGCCATTGGTTTATTATTTCATTTTAACATTTTCTATGTTTTCTCTCTTATTCTCTATAGTAGCACGTGATCACAAAACTATACCAAAAGGCCACAATGTCATTAGTATATTGTTAATCTATTTGTAGCTTTACTCAATTCTATTGTGAAGCTGAGATTGTTTCTCAAAAGATTTGTATTCACTGCTTTAATATATTGATTTTTTTTCTCAATTGCTATCACTAATTGAAAAAAATAATATTACAACACGACATTACATTAATTGTGTTTACAACTAATGAAATATGTGGCGTAATGATACTTTTGTAAATAACTATAACTATGTTATAGGGATTATGAAATAGACAAATGTTATGGTGCTCCATCTTTGTAAATGGTTTACTGTGGTCCATTTCTGTGAACCATGAAATTAAATTTATGTTTAAGATAATATGGTATACACATTATACTATATTTTTTTGCTTCCTTCCTCTATGATTTTGGAGTATCTGTGTAGCAATGTTTTCTTGGTGAATAATCAACATGTTTCAAACTGAGAAAAGTTAGAATCACTTATAAGTACAAACTTCTTCTCAATTAAAGAAAGTGCATCCATCGCATGAGAGTGGGTTTGTCGTGCTTGGAACATTGCTGTAATTGTGACATCATGTCATCAATCGAAGTGGTCGTTGGTGAGGCTCGTATATAGCAAAGCAATGTCTCATCCCACATTAAAGGCATCCATTTGTCTCATGGATATGTTGAGAAAGTGAAGCTATCGAAAGGTTCTAAATGGATGCGGTTCTTGTAACTAAGCTACATGTGAAGTTGTAAACCTCACACGTTCTCTTCTTTGTGGTTGTTGTAGGTGTTGTCAAGGGAATAAAGGTTGATGGTATATAGATCGAAGAGGGAGAGGAGGAAGTACTTAAAGACGAGTGCAAGAAAATAATAAAGTAAGAGGCAACAAAGTTGGAAGAGTACGCAACTTGATCTAGAAACCCTCTAATGAGGCATGTAAGGGAAGGTTGTTAGTGATTGAGGATGAGAGCATGCCGAACGATAGCGAGTGAATAGGAGAAAGAAAAAGGGAAAAAGAAAAAAAAAAGATTTAGCATATGTGATACACATTTAATCATATTAATAATTTAGATTGACTAAAGTGAACCACCTATTATAGTGGTTCACGACAAAATCCGTCTATAAAATAATTGTGATAAAAAATATTATATTAATTTAAATTTATATTGATTCAAATTAGAATTAATGTAATGTGTTTTAAATTTCAAAATCATAACCAAAATATTAGACTAAGAATTTTTTGTTGTTTCATTAAAAAATGAATCATGGGTGAAAGAAGAAAAGAGCATTGGTGATATATAACTACACAAATATGAAAGTAGTTGTAGCACAGGGAAGAGGAGAACAAATATAGGATTAAAAATAAGTATGAATCAACTCAACTTGCTAATCCAATCCAACTTGAGGTTGATTTTGATAGGTTTAAATTTTTAAATTAAACTCAGTGTATTTTTAGGACGGGTTCAAATTACGTTCTAAGTCACATAACTCTATATATTATATTTTTTAAAAAGTATAAACTTTATTGAATTATTGTGTATTAATAATAAAATATATTTAGTTGTTAATATTTTAATAATTAATATTATATTTAAAACAAACTATTTATTTTTAAAATATATAATATATAATATACCTTAATTTAAATTTTACACTTCTTTTAATTTACAATTTAATTATATATAATATTTAAACTAATATAATGTATTAAAGTTGGATTAACTCCATCTTATCCATAGTTTTAAAAACCGGACCGGTCATCGAACCGGTTAAGGTAATGGGTCAGTGAGTCAAAGGTTGAACCGGTGGGTCACTAGTTGAACCGCATGACTCGGTTTTTATTTATTTTTGTTAAAAAAATATTCATATTAAATATATTTTATACTTATAAATTTTAATAAATTCATATCTTATTTTAAATTTCAATTTTTCTATCTTATTTAAAATTATTTTTATTTTTATTTTGTAAAAAATATATAAAAAATTACATGTTAAACTGTATATTAATACAAATTAAAAATATAAATAATATGTACATATATAATATGCTTGCAATTGATATCACAAAATAATATATGTAATATCTACATATATATTATATTATTAAATATATAATATAAAATTAATAATATACTATAAAAGTTATTTAAGTTGTATATTATATAAACAAATATATTAGAACAAGTAGTCAATTATTATATTTAATAAGAATCTTTGTTCTTCCATTAAGAGATTCAATTTTTATTATTATTTTTGTGGTTTATGGTCCCTTAAAAAAATTAAAAAAAGAAAAAGAAAAAAAGTGGTTGAACCGGTTTGTCCTACCGGTTCACCGGTTGAACCGAAAAATTGACCGGTTCAATCCGGTTTGAAACGGGTCGACTGCATAACCAATCCAACTTAAGGTTCGGACCGGCTTGACCACCAGTTCCCGGTCCAACCGGTCCGACCGGCCGGTTTGGTCCGAGTTTTTAAACACTGATCTTATCCGATATATTTTTAAATTCAAATCAAATTGGAATTGAATTTTAAAAATAGTCTACTTAAAAATCAGGTCAAATCTAACTCAATTTCATCTATCCTCGTCACTAGATGAAAAATATATTGGTTTTACCTTTTCCATTTTTGAATTGTGAAATCCATCAGCATTTTGAATTCCTTTCTTAGAGACGTTCGAATCTCGAAAAGTAAATAATTTTGAAAATCAAATTAAAAGCAGCATAAATGCAAGGCATATAAACTGTACTTTTTGGATTCAGTTCTTAAAAATGAGCTTCACATGGTGTTTTATTTTTAATAGTTCTCCACTTAGCATCATCGTAATTAATAATTGATAAGAATATCGAACAACCAAGTCCTTATTAATTATTAATAAAAATAATAATAATAAAGCAAGAAATAATAGAGAAGGCTTTGCTTGAAAAAAAAGGTTTAGGAAATAGGAATCTCCGTTCAAAATTCGAATATCGCTCCAACCTTATCCGAAAAGCTTAAGCTGCATCCATCACCACCGTGAATCCGAAACAATCAACGGCCAGCAAAGAATTTAACACGAGGTTCTCATGATCCTCGTCGTTGGTGCCTAATATAACGAGTTAATTAATTAATCCCATGCGATAAGTAAAAGCAGTCTCAAATTTCTGTTAATATTAGTTTGTTTGTAATTTGTATTGTATTGTATCAGGCGTTTCATCTTCCTTCTTCCCTCATTTTCTCTCCCTCCAAACAACCCCTTCCTCATCTGCGACACATGGAGATGTCAATGGAGGATTCGCGCTCCGACGAGGCTCTCTCCATGGTTCTCCACGCTTTCCTCCGACGCGGACGATCTCCTCGATTACCCAAAAATTCCATACCGATTGCGCCACGAATATCTCCTTTTACGACGCCCTTTTAAGGTCCTTTTATTCGCTTTTCGTTTCTTTCGCTCCGAATTCCAACTCTAGGATCCTTCACTCGTCTTTCCTTTTCATGTCTATCCAATCGTTTCTTCTTAGTCATTTAGAGTAGTTATGTCTCCCTGCCAAGTTTGGATATAGGAGAATTCTCGGAAATTTTTCTGTTGTGCTATTTTAGGGTTTCGAACGCTCTCTGCAATGGCTCTCAAGCCTTGATCTGGAATTTAAGCGAGATTCGTTCGTTCCTGTTGTGTTTGTGGTTTAATTGGTTGTTGAATTTTGCGTTTGGTTGGGGAAATTTAAATGGCTGGGAAGTTGGAATTGGGGCCTCCGAAGTTTGATGTTTCCAATCCGAAGCAACAAGCAGCGAGGAAGATACTGAAAATTGTTAGATCTCAAGGGCATCCCTATGTTGAGTTGCGTGAGAATGGGAAGAAATTCATTTATTTCTGCACTTTGTGTCTTGCTCCGTGTTATAGTGATGATGTTCTGTTTAATCACTTGAAAGGTAATCTTCACAAGGAGAGACTATCTGCCGCTAAGGTTACTCTGCTAGGACCGAAACCCTGGCCTTTTAATGATGGTCTTGTTTTCTTCGATACTTCCACTGAAAGTGATAAGGAATTGGGAGTTGCGGATAGTTACCAGAACAGGTTGTTGAAGGTTGATGACAATGAAGGCAATCTTGCGATTGTGAAGTTTGATGAAGGGGTTCAGTCAAATGCTAAACCGTGTTCAACTGATGGCGTGCAGGATGATGAGTGTGCTTTAGTGATTCCTCATTTGCTGATTGGAGATGAAACGTTTGACGTGAAAGTTAGGGAAGTGGGCTTGGGGAAGATTGCTGCAAGATTCCTTGAGAAGTCTAACGCGTTGAATGGGATTAAAAGAATATGGTGTGAATGGTTAGGAAAAGAAAGTAATGGTAAACAAGATGGTTTTGAGGTTTTAGAGCATGATTTTGCTGTTGTAAATTTTTCTTATAATTATGATCTGGGTCGGTCTGGTTTGCTTGATGATGTCAAGTTATTGCTCCCGTCTGCTTCTGGTGGCCAAAAGGGAAAGACATCGTTGTCCGACTCTGATGATGTTAGCGATTCTTTAAGCAATCAATGTGATTCTTCTGCCGAAGAGTCTTCTGATTCAAACAATTCCAACTCACGATTGGCCCTAGACCAATTCAACAATCATATTCTCTGTACAAGGTTCATTTCAAGCAAGGCTTTGAGGAAAGAATTGAGACGAAAGCAGCGGCTGGCAGCAGAGAAAGTGTGTAACATCTGTCAACAAAAAATGCTTCCTGGTAAAGATGTAGCAGCACTTATGAATTTGAAGACTAGAAGAGTAGCCTGCAGCAGTCGGAATAGAACTGGGGTAAAGACATCTTATTAATGTTTTGACCTTGTTTTTCTATATTGGTTTGTTAATAATGAAGCTTATATAAAAATTTGATATTGAAACTTCACTGTATTCACAACACACGTATTCTAAACTTGAGAAAGAGTTGTATTTCATATTTCATTTATCAAATTAGACAAGTTAAAATGGCATTGATATGCAGGCATTTCACGTGTTCCATACATCCTGCCTTATACACTGGATAATCTTGTGTGAATTTGAGATAATCACAAATCATTTAGTTCGTCCAAATGTTAGACGAGTGAAGAGAAAGGTTGCATCAGATGGTGACAAAATTGGAAAAGAAAAAAAGATAGAAAAACATATAAGAACTGTATTCTGCCCAGAGTGCCAAGGTACTGGTATGATCATTGATGGAGATGGGGTGGAGCACCCAGAATTTTCACTGTCTCAGGTTTGTTTATTACATGGATAAGTCTTTCTTAATCCTCCAGCTTATCTAATATGTATTCAATCCCTTTTTTCTTTTGGTTTTCTTTAAGCACAAATATTTTTATTTTAGGTAAATACTTGCCTTGTGTTCAGAAAACAAGTTTATTTGGAATTTATAGGATATTGCCTAATCTTCTTGCAGATGTTCAAATTCAAAATAAAGGCATGTGATGCACGCAGAGAATGGATCAAGAGTCCTGAAATTTTGCAGAATTGCTCAACTGGGTTTCACTTCCCTTCACAATCTGAAGAGATATTTGAGGTCTTTATTACCATTTCTGCATTTATTTTCATAAATATATTAAAATTATATATTCAATTGTTTATCATCTTCTAATCTAATAAATTAATTGTGATTGCTTTGGTTTCAGGAAAAAGTGCAACCCATAAATTTGCTGCATTTTTATCGTGCTGATGATCATAGTGTGGTATAACAACCGGGCAAAAGTATGGTATACATCTGAGTACATTAATTGGTCTACATTTTCAATATTTGTGTAACATTTTAGGTAAATGTTGGTTGATAGACTGGATTATATAACCTCGTAGATAGTGACCAGATTAAACATTGTGTATTTGTGTATACCTGTTGCTAATGTGTGCGAGAGTGCACATAGCTGACAAAGTGACATATGTGTACATGGTAAAAAGAGTAGATATCATTCTAGAGTGCTGTCATTGTTGCCTCACTGTTTGATTAAATATCTTATAATCGGATATTATACTCCTAATTTATGCAAGTATCAGTAGTTATTATTTACGTATAACTGTCATCTTACAGATTTCAATATTTAACTAACTATTAATAATTATTTTCTGCACATAATTGTCATTATGGAATTTTTAACTAAATTGATTTCCCAAGCAGTTTTTTTCTAAGCATAACTAACATAATTGCCCCCAACTCCAGTTTCTTGATTTTTATCAGTACAGCATTCTAAGATATCAGTCATGTCCATAAAGTTGAAAATTGGAAATCAGTTTTTCTGCATTATCTATCCACCTTAATAGTAATAACTTCACTATCTTTATTTAGGACTTCATTATCTCCCAAGATTACCGATCTTAACTGTTTCTTTGCACTTTGATGTAAGGGATAAAGTTTTTCTATACACCTCTAGTGTGAATCATTTCTTCCTTTTCATCAACTTTTGGAATGATAAATGACACAAGCCTTAGTATGTGTTCGGTTCTACGTTTAGAGTTCTTGACTGGTGTAAAAAACGTGAAAAATAAGAAGCTAATATTGTTTGTTTCTTAGTCAAATTGACATGAATTTGTTAGAAAACGTGGATCAATGACGCGAGTCCAATCACGCACTTAGTTTCACATCAAAATTACACCCATGCCCATTCATGATTTGCATAAAAGATGCTGAACTCCAAAAAGATTTTTGCAATGTGAGCTCCGTAAACCAAAACTTCATTTTCTTTTTCCTCCGTAAACCAAAACTTCATTTTTTTTTTCCTCAGTCGCAATTTCTCCTCCTTTTAGAAGAGGTAAACTAGGGGTGGAAATGAGTTGGATTATATAGGATTTGACAGTATTCTTAATTGCACTCCTAGTGAAAAAACATTTGGTCATCATGTTTTATCAAATATTGAGTTCTACATTATTTTTATATCTAGTTCTTTATTCTTTAAATTTTTAGCTTTGAAGTTTAAAGTATCTAAATTTATATCATTTTGAAGAGAAAATATAGGATGTTTAACAATCTTTTATTTTTTAATCTAAAATACTTTTTTGAGATTCAATATCAATTTTTTTTAGATAACTTGAAGGTTATTTTTGAGACAGTATTTTTAAATTCAAACAATTTAGACAAGTATAGACAAAAAAAATCAAATTATAATATTTGAATTAAATAAAGAGTCTTTAATAAGTAAATGACAATGAAGTGAAACAATAGTATTTGATTACATATTTAAAGCTTCATCTTGTATGCTGAATTTATTGTAATAAAAAAATAGATCAACAATGATAATGTATCACAAACAAACTCATGAAGACTAATAAATGAAAATTTGTGGATGGATTGAGAGTTTAGCATAATAGAAATGGTAAGAATTAAGAGAACAAAAAGAAAATCAAAAGAACAAAAATAAAGAAAAAGAAAAAAAGAAAAGTTTAAAGTGACCATTATTATCTATCTATTAAACATTAAACATTAGTGCAAGAAAATACATTAATTAATTTAAGCATTTTACAATGAAACTAACATTATTAATGCCAATCTTAAAAATAAGTACCTGTAATTTTTTAGTCTAGACGTGAATCTACACTTAGCCGACGATAAACCAAACAAGAATCAAGTAAAAGAAATTACAAAGAATTCTATCATGTTACTCTCAACCTAACAAATGGCAATGCAGGCAGAATGAGAATTTTACAACTATATGTTGATGAATCATGTGACGGCAAGTACAAGAAACTATTAGCTGCACCAAATCCCAGTTCACAAAGCCGGCCGCGAGCACTGTTTGGTCAACTTTAATTTGTTCCAAGGTTCAATATATATATAAGTAGTTTACAAAGCATGCCAAAAGCCGTAGCTAAGCACAACTTACACAGGAAAATTAACATGGCATATTACTACAGGCACCAAAGCAAAAGGTTGATATGGTTCCTAATGTTTGTGTTTGTAGTTCTTTGTCTGATGGAAACTTCATTGACAGAAGGAAGGGGAGTTTATATAGGAAGATCAAGAAGGCAAGTGGAAATTGGAGGAAGCATGAAAAAACTTGGGAACCTTGCGGCGTTGCTTCCAAAAGGATCACCTGTGCCACCTTCTGGGCCAAGTCCTGACATAAACTGATCCACGCCCGTCCATTTGTCTGCATGGCAAGTGGAAATTGGTTTCTATTCATTTCTTGAACTTATTCTTTTTGTTCTTGTATAATTTCCTGAATATGGATAATTTATGAACTTGTCTTTACCCTCATTTATTATCAGCAATAGTTTCCGGAACAGTAAAAAATGGATATGATATACGTATTTTTATATGAAAACTCTTTTTCTTTTTTGTGAACAGGATATATTTACTTAATTAACAGTGCAAGGATGGCACATGTATAAAACCTCTCAGTAGAAGATATTGTTAGTAAAGCCATGTATCCCAAAAATTATAGTGCCAATAATTAGGACGATTATTTCTATGAAAAAGGCAGCGAAAGTTTATAGATCGTCATATTTTTTTGGGTGAAATTATAGATCATCATGACTCATGGTAAATGAAAATGGATAAAACTTGCCAAGAGGGTCATATTTTCTAGTGTCGTTTAAAGGTTTTATATTATAAACATGACATATAAATTAAACCTTTATATTATAAATAAGGAATACCGAAAGTTATGGGTACAAGTAATTCAATATTTATTTTTTTAATTAAAATATAAGTTTCATATCTGATTTTGACATAAAGTTATGACAAAAATACTATTTTATTAACTTGATTCGAGAGAGTTGTATCTCCATTTTATGAATATATATATATATATATATATGAAGCATTTTTTTTTTAATATTTCAAACAAAATAACTGAGTTTTGTTGTTGTACTACCTTTAATAATCAACGAGGTTGGCTTACAGAATGTGACATAATAGATGTTTTTAAAATTTGATTCATCATTGAGTAACGTATTATTTAAATTTATGATTGAATAATAATTAAATTATGGTGAATCAATATTGATAAAATAATAAATAATTTATAATATAATATTAAAAAAATCAACTATATATATTAAATAAAAAATCGTTATTTTGT